GCTCTATTCAGTTGCAGTGGACCAGGAGCCGCTTAGGAATTTAATGGACTTCTTCTGGAGAGGATGTGTTGGGTACATGGTCTCAGCCCCCCCACCACGGCAGAATAGGATGTGGGATGTCGTGAAGGGTCGTGATTGGGGAGGTGGGCCAGTACAAAGGATGGGTCAGGGAAGGGACGGTGGACGAGAACCGCACCACGGGAACCAGTGCTGGGGTTGGGTTGAACGACAGAAGTTGGGTCAAACTTAATAGGTCCAGGGCAGCAACGGCCATGTTAACAATCCACCCAAAATTGTGTGTGCATGAAAGTAAATTCACAGAATAGCTGGATTCAGGGACAGGTCCTATCTGTCTGAATGAGGATCCTGCCATCTCTAGGTTGGCGTTATCCACTCAGGCCCCTATTTTGGAAAAGGGCCTCAATTTTTGAGTGCCCAATTTCAGGCACCTGAGGCCTGAAGTTCAGAGGCACTAAGGCAGCTCCTGTGGGCCTCAGCCAGCGTTGTTCCACATCTCTGTTCAGATGCTCAGCATCTCTGGCAGTCAGGACGCAGGTGCTTCAAGTTGGAGACCCTCAAAATGAGACACCCAGAACTCAATGGTCACTTTTAACAATTTCAGCCCAAGTGTCTTGCAAAATCCAGTGTCAAAAATTACTCCGGTACCAACCTACCAGCATCCCCAAAGGATAAGAGTTAACTCAGCCCACAGTTGGCAACTCCCTGCTCTGTTAAAGGAGGAACCCGAGACCAGACGTGAATAAGGGAAACAAAGAACCCACCCCCTGCACACAGTTTAAATTTCCTAGAATGCAAGCCATATTTGTGTGCGCTGGCTGCAGTGCATTCTGGGATCTGTAGTTTGGAGGGTTCACAATAACCAAAAATGTGCAAATCAATATAGGAAAGGTGTCAAGTTTTTGGTAGCTAACGTCCCTTGAGATGGGCGATTCGTTTCAGCAGCTGATGCTGTCTCAGCTTCAGCTGCCTTTTCTCTGTAGCCATCCTCCTCTCTGCACTGACTAGCGACTGAAGGTACTCCGAAGCTTTGCTCAGGATCACCACTTTGGGGGTTTTGGGACAGTTAGCCAGACCGGGGACCTGATCCCTCAGTGCCAGGAAGCGTGAGCGGAGATCGTTTCGCCGCTTGCGTTCTAAGTAGTTGTGGTTTTTCCTCTTGGCCATGTCCTCGCTATCTGAGCTCGGGGCGCTCTCGGGTTTCAGCAGGCAAGGCTCAGGCGAAGAGCTCTCTGCGGCTTGCTCTGGGCTGCTCAGGGGCTCCTCCTTGATCTCCTTCTCTGAGGCCTCCTCCTGGGAGCAGGGGTCCGGTGGAGAGCGGGCAGCGTAGTTGTGCTGTTGCTGATGGATGGAGATGTGGAAGTGTTTCATGCAGGGGTCCAGGGGGTCTGCTCGCACGGTGATGGTGACCGGCTTCCTCATGCTGAGCGATTGTCTCTTCTCCACTGTCACCACATCAATCTCTTCACCCTCTGTTCAAAACAGATGCAAGCAAAACAACCCATCACTTGGAATCATTCGACTATTCTCTTCAGCTACCCCTTGCCCAGCCTCTCAGCATGGGGCAGCACCATACCTGGTGCATGGATCTCCAGTACCTCTTTATGTTCTGGAGATTATACAGTCACCCTGCTAGGTTAAACTGATCAGGAAGAGGATCACATTGCATGGATCCCAGTGCATTGCATAAAACAACTCAATCATCCTTCCTGGGGCAGAATTGGTCTTTCCCACAGCCCCTAATCCCAGTCATAGGAGTGAGATTTCTCTCCTGAGCTTCAGCTCCGTGTCCCAGGAAGTGGGACATGGATTTCTTACTGTTTCCCTTACACGCCATGGGCAACACTCATTAAGAACAAAGACCCAACAGGCAAGAAATTCCTGCACCCGTCCTCACCTCCCCCAGCAGACAGGAGGGGAGCAAGAGCCTTAGTGGCTGGGGACAGAGTTGAAGGATAAAGATCTTCCCCTTGCTCCTGCTCGTCGGGCTCTTTCATGGCCCATTGGAATTGTAAATGAGGGATCTGGGGGCTGAGCTGCCCTTTGTTCCTGTTCACTGCAGCTTCGCACTTTAGTGACTTGTTACTTTTCACAAGTTATAAATCCTATTCACCCCCCACCCTGGTATTCTCCTCTCCCCATTCAGCTGGGGGGGGAGAGGGGGAGAGACAATCCTCCCCTCTCACAGTGGGGGAGGGGGGACATTTTGCCATCAGGTTCAATGAACCTCTAAGCCATCCACCATTTAACATTCCTCCCCTCACCACCTCAAACATGTTCAGCCTTAAAGAAAGGGTCTGAGGGGAAAGGTTATCAAAGCTGTAAACAAAGAGGAACAGACCCAACTCTTTAAAACTCCATTCTAGCCATCCCTGAATTATAGCGGCTACTATCAATTCACTCCCTGCCACTTTCCAAAGTCACTTGGGCTTTCCCCAAGAGAGTGTAACGCTCAAAAGCGAGCACAGATCCCTTGTGCATGGCATTCCAACTGGCTTGGCAATACTTTGCATTAGCCATGCCTTTCACTCAAATCAAAACACTTCACAAAGATGGGTATTGCCTCCATTTTACAGTTGTGGAAACAGAGGCAGAGCTGTTTAATATACTTGCCCACAGTCACGCAGCTAGTCAGTGAATAAGACCCTCACAGAGTGCAGCTCTATGCTAGCAGACAGTGGAGGTCTGTCTCCTTTTGCACGTTAACAATAATCTACTGGCATGATGAGTATTGCCAAATCAGAAAAGAGGTTGGGACCCAGGGCTCTTGACGCCCAATCCTCCGCTCTCCGCATTAGACCACATTGTCTCCCATGCCCCTCTAATGCTAGTGAGATTATCCTTCAGAGGGCTTGCACCACTTGGTGATCAGCAGTCTAGAATTTGCTACTGTGGTTTTATTTTAGGTGACACACACACACACACACACACACACCCCTCCTGATAGTCAATGCTATTTCCTGGTTGCTTTGTACTGTGCACTTTTTATGCCCTTCTTTTGTCACAAACTTCCATTGTGTGGACAATAGTATCGTTTCCCCATTAATAAAAAATCTGACTGGCTGGGCCCCTCCTCCCAGCCAGGTGGCCATTGGCTGCCTCAGCAGGCGCTTGGAATGTTGCTGCTGCAAAGCTACCCATCCCTCATTGGCCAATGCCCGAGTCACTCACTGAGGCCCCCCTCATTGTTTGCTGCAATCTGTTGCTTTTTGTTCTGGGACCATGTGGCCAGGGGAGCATGTGCCCAAGGGGCCTGGATTCAGATCAGGTAAAGTGCAGGTCACCGAAGTAGCAAGATTACAGTAGAAATAATGAATGCAGTCATCCTCCCCCCCCCCCCACTAATTGAGATTAAGCCCTTTAGAGCCTGCAGCCTCCTTACTATCTCCATCATCCTAATGTAATTAAATCTTAGTCCTAAAGGTGCTTCTTGGCCCAGCCATCCTCATCCCTGGAATGAGTCACAGCCAAATTACTCATGCCTGACTCAGACTCTAGTATTAAGGTCAAGATAATGAGGTGTCTAGCCCTGCACCCCCAAGGTTGTGTCAGCACTTCCGCCTACCCCCCTCCCCCTTCCGTTTCAGAGGGCAGTCATTTAAATCTTGCCTGGAGTTTAGGTGTATCAAAATCACACCTCCTTCACCTGGTCATTTCTAGAAAGAGCAAAAAAAATTTAGTAGCTGATTTGGGGGATTTTTGCCTGCCGTTAAGTGACAAATTGAAGACAAGGGCTTTTTTTAAAAAAACAGCCTGTATTAAACTTCCAACCCTACAGATCAAGGCTCAGACTCGGTTTTGGTGGCTTGACACACCATTCCCTTGATCACTTTTAAGCCTCAGTTTATCTAGTATTTACACCAGTTTTCCTGTAGGGTGCGGCTGGATAGGACCCAGGAGACAGGACCCTTTTGCAGAGGCAGGGCTAGGAGATGCATCTAGTTGCTTGGTAGCATGCCTCGCCCCACATTCCAAGAAGGGATGGCCCCAGAGACATGAACAATTGTTTTGTGACCGTCAAAGCCCACAAAGAGATTTTGCCTTTTGTCCTAGGAGGCCACCGGAGACAGGCTGCAAAGGGGAGCTGTCTGATCAGCTGAAACCTAGTCGTGGGGGAGCACTTCAGCCTGGGTGCTGTAAATCAAGCCGAAAGAACAGCAATATGGCTGCGGTGGGAAACATTACAAGAGGAGCTAAAGCGAGCTGCAAACTTCCCCATGCAGCTTCCAGGCTCAGAGAGCGTTCCCCGAGGAGCCCAGCGCCGTCTCCTAGCAGGAGGGGAAGATTATTTTTTTTAAAAGCAGCTGAATTCTGGAATCTGAGGTCCCTCCAGGGTCACCCCCTCCCTGCAATGTGCAGGGGGTTCCCAAGCAAAAATCCTAGGGGGGAAAGAGACGGTTCAGCTTCCCTTTGTTCTTGTCCGTGGGCTTTTCACAACAAAAGGAGGCTGGGCTTCCGGAGAGCCGTTCCCAGACTGTTTACCAACACATGTGTAAACGGGAGCGCCACCAGCACGGCGGTTTTGCAATGCTGGAGAAAGCAGAAAGTTCACTGGGTTGCTGGGACCAGCCCACACCTTGATTTTAAGCAAGGGAACTTGTGGGGTTTTTTTTTCATCCCTTACCAGAATCGCATTGCCGCTCGGGCCCAGAGGAGGCAGGGGGGTGTTTGTTCTCAGCCAAGGGGCAGGGGAAGACGGCAGCGGGATCCACGCACTCGCTCACCGAGTTGTTGAACCCGAAGTCCTGGGCAAAGGAGGGCTTGTGCGGATTAACCCTTTGCGTGCCCGTGGAGAGTTTCTCGGTCATAACTTTCTCCAGCCGCTCCCGGGCGGAGAAGCCGCTCCACATGCAGTCCTGGAGAACGAAGGCGCTCAGGTTCCCAAAGATCTCCCCGGTGTCGATCAGATACTCCGGCTCCTCCCCGGCCAGGCAGCAGTGGGAGAGCCAGTCGGACCTCTCCCCTGCCCCGGGGCAACAGGCTTTGCCCCCCGCGCTGCACAGGGGCGACATGGGGGGAGTGGGCACCAGCTCGAATTTCTTCCAGATGTCTTCGCTGGGGGCGGTGGATCGGTAGAAATCCTCCTCGGAGTCATGGTCATAGAAGTAATGCTGGTAAGAGTCGAACTCCATCTCTGGAGGGGGTCGCCTGGGGATCCCAAAGCGCACTGTCAGCATCATGGGGGGGGGAGGGGGAAGAAGAGGAGATAAGCCCCCGCCCCAAGCCAGGCAGGGAAACACCCCAACATCAGGTCAGCCTCTGTACCGTAGCCACCCCACGCCCCCCAAAACTCTAATTACGGGGCGTTCGCGGCATCTTCCCGTGTGTGATCAAATCCCCACTGAACACACTCACCAAGGGGGTCCCAACCGCCCCCACACAGAACGCGCCCACTAGAGACCCCAAAGCCCTAAATAGGAGTCACCCCCCCCCAAAGGGAGACTCCCACGCGCGGAGCTGCTCCCACCCACCCGCCGTCCAGCGGCCCCCCACGCACGTGGGGCGGCTAAGTTACAAACGGGTCGGTCCCCGCTGCCTGGCTTGGAGCTGGGCAGAGGCGCTGGGGGGGAACCGCGCTGCCTGCAAGTTTCCCAGGGTCACCAAACTACAGCCCCCCCGTGGGGGGGGGGAGAAAAAGATCAGCCCCAGGGCCCCACCCCTTGGAGTCACCTTTCCCCCGCGTCCTGTTCTTGCTCCAAGCGGGCGGCTCGCTCTGGCTACAGCCTACACCCCCGGGGCCGGATCCCGCGATCAGAGCGACCGAGCCGAGACTCGGGTGCATTGTTCCCCCGCCGCCTTATATCCCGTCTGCAGCGAATGGCTCCGCCCCCGGCAAGCGGACCCCCAACCAGGGGGCTGTGATTTGCATAATGGGCGGGGCGAGTGCTTGTAAATCACCTCGGTGCTCCGCCCAGCTCCGGTGTTAATGCTGCAGTTCCCTCTTGGCCCTGGTAATGGCACAGCAGAGCAGCTGACTGGCCGGCCGTGGGGGTCCCACCGCAGCCCACTTCCCAAGGAAAGCGGCCAGCAGCGGGGCAGCATCAAGGAGTGTTTGCTCACAGGCACTGTAAGGGCAATTGAATCTTCCCTGCACTAAAAACACCCCCAAAGTCCTGCCCTTCCCTGAAGGGGCTAATCTGTTAACCCCAGTAGAGTTAGGACAGCTGTGGATAGGAGAGAAGCCCTGAGTCCTACGCCCAGCTCTGGTACTGACTTGGTGTTGACCTGTCTATGACTCTATTTCCCCTCTGTACAAACAAGGCTAACATTGCTCTTCTTTGTAAAATACCTGATGGGGGGGGGGGTGCTGAATACCTGCAAAACAAAAGCAACCTTTGAGAAACATTTTTTTCATGCAGGTTTAGCAGCTGATACTGTGGGAGTGGTAGATTATATCTGTTAAAGTAGTGTGTTCAGTGTATACTCACTTTTCTGCAAAGTTATTTGCCCGACTTACTCATGAACTGATTATTTATATTGTACTTAGAGGTCTCAGCTGAGCGCTGGGTACTGTTTGTGCTAGGGGCTGTCCATGCACATAGGCTCCGTCGTAGACATAGGCTATGTCAGGCTGGGGTATGAAAACAAAACACCCCTGATCAATATACCATCCTGACAAACCCCCCAGTGTAAATGCATCTTTGCAGACAGAAGAGTGCTACAGGCATAGCTAATTGTGTTCAAGGAAGCGGCCTTCCTACAGTGGCAAACAATTTCTAGGGCAGCATAGGCAGGGGACACTTATTACGCCACTTCCTTACTAACATACTATGTCTACACTGCGGAGTCTATGCTGTAGTCATAGAGCTTGCAAATTACACTATTTTAATACTTTTATTACTTCTCGTTATGCTGAATCTGTATTAGTCTGTCTTTTTTGACTATTTGTGTCATGTGTATTTGTTAAATAGGTAAAACAGTAAAAAGGTTTAAAAATACAAGGTAGATGTTTGGTTGTTTTAATATCAGAGGCTGGTGGATGGAGCGTGTAATTTAAGAAACAAACACATAGGATTACAGTAGTAAGAGAGGAAAGGCCTATTCAAGGCATTAAGTTTCTCCCATTAATACAAAGATGGAGTTTGTAAATTCCCAGGCAAATCTCTTGGTGGAAGGCTGTGCATGGAGCATATATTGATTTGTTCTTGAAATACTAAAGAATACTTCGGTACAACATGCTCCAGCTGTCATGTGCACCCTCTTCCCTAGTCAGTTGTGGACTGACATGCTTGGAAGCCTTCTGCTTTACATCCATTCATCCTTTTAGAGAATACTCTTATTTCCACTAAAGAACTAAATTTCTTCTCCCATGCAGCTAACGTCCTGGAATGAAGATGAACTAGTGTCCAAGAACTCTCAGTGCTTCCGCAGTGGGAGGTGAAAGCAGGATGGTGCAGTGGTTAGAGCACTGTGCATGAGCCCAGAGCCTCATCAGCTTGTTGGCATCGAGCTCCCACTGATTTCTGAGCCTCTGGCGTATCTACATCATCATGGGGATAAAAATCCTGCAGCTGGTCTGGGTCAGCTGACTCAGGCGCCGAGACTTTTATCCCCAGGTGGACATACCTCTGTGCCTCAATTCTTTATCCGCAAAATAGCAATAATCCCTACCTCTCCGGGGATCAAATATTTTAACAGATTGTAAGGCGCTCAGATAGTCTGATAAGAGGTGCCATATAAATCTGTACCTAAGACAGGCAGAAAAATGATCACCTCCTCAAGGGAATCCAAAGAGTGGGTACTGCACGCAGCTGATCTCAGCTACTTTATATTGAACAATGCACATGGCTGTATAGGACACTTCAAGCTAATCCAACTTCCATTATTTTTCACAGAACAACAGGCAGGTACTAAAATGGCCCATACTAGATCCAGACCCCACATTGAATCCAGAACCGATTTACAATAGAATCTACATAGAATACAACTGAATGAACAACCTCCTACCCTAAGCTGCTTATTGGGTCAGAATCTCTGATTTATCCTAGCCAGGTCTACAGTATTAAAAAGCGCCACCATCTGGCGACTAGCTGAAATTGCACCCTCCAAAACGTTCCCCTTTTGTAACTGAAGTTACATAAGGTTAATTAAAAAGTTGGTTACACAAAAAAAAGGAAGTGGATGTTACCAAAGATCTATTTTCACTTAATTCTAAATGTCAGGTTGAGATGGGATGGAAACTCCCTGTTGGTTTAAAGAATAACATTGACAAGAGGAAGAAGGGGAAAGTAAAAAGAAACTTAATTGGAGAGGTAAATAAGATTTTTAGTTTAAGTAAACATAGCAGCTTTCTTGCTTCTAGACCCCCAAAGTGGACAGGGACTTGCTGAAACCATCCCAAACAGCTGCCCACTTCTGGAGTGCACCAGCCAGGAGCTCAAACTGACACAAACACCCCTACAGAACAGAACAGGAGTGGGAGGGAAATATTTTGGTAAATATTGGACAAACCGCTACAAATATGAAAACTGCCAAGAGATCTTTAAACACCCAGGGAAAGCAGAGAGAACATGGAATGTTAAAGTCTCACACTGGCAGGCTCTCAGCTGACATGCTCTGGAAAGATGAAGGCTGAGCCATACCAGAAAGATCTTAATCTGAATTAGCACATTGGGCCAAATTCATTCAAGGCATATAGATAGATTTAAAAAAAAAAAAAACCTTACAGTATTCTAGCCCCAGATCACCACAATATAATAGGAAGCATTCTAATACTGTATTTCATTTTTATAAGGGCCATTGTCTCAAATACTTCTGCCAATTGTCAAGACAATGAATATCTATTCACCAGTGTAGTATCTAAGCAATGAGAAGTTTAAAGTTAGGCAGATTAAACAGTCTCAAGAAATTGAGGAATATTTAAGGCTTAAAGAAAGTGATTGTGATCCAACATGGAAGGTAAAAACCCTTTGAGATTAAATAACGTCATCAGTTACATGATCTTCATTTTTCAGAGTAACAGCCGTGTTAGTCTGTATCCGCAAAAAGAAGAACAGGAGTACTTGTGGCACCTTAGAGACTAACAAATTTATTAGAGCATAAGCTTTCGTGGACTACAGCCCACTTCTTCGGATGATCTTCATTGAGGATTTTGGGTAGGAAGGAGACTGGCATTGCAGTTGTGGGTTGAAAAGTTAAGCGTTGAAATTCAATATACAGGTCTGTCTCATCTTACGCTGGGGTTACGTTCCTCAGTCAGCGCCTAAAGCGAAAATCACGTATAGTCAAAATTACATTGAGTTTAATGGCAGGCGGAATCGCCCGCACTACAGAAACAGTATTTAAATTGTTATTTTTCTCTTTTTTTTGTTTTTGCTGACTGCGTAAAGCTGAAATCGCACATGTTAAATGCGCCTAAGATGCGACAGACCTGTACCAGCAAGTGTCCCTGAGGAAGCTCATAACATTGCCACAAAATAGGAACTAAATCTACTTTGGCTTTGCCTACAATTGGCATTTTTCTTCAGCTTTCCCATTGGCGCAGTAGGTGATGGTGGGAGTGCTGTTACATACAGGACACCAGTATTTTAACCACTGTGGGTGAGATCCTGACAGCTCCACTTAATTCAATAAAGCTACATCCATTTACAGCACCTGAGGATCTGGCCCTAGTCTCATCTAGGCCGCAGAGAGAGGACTGACTACACCCTAGCATTGGCGTTGCAGGAGTGCTGCAGACCAAGTCTAGCTAGCAAGAGCAGGGCAGCCTCTCTCTCTTTCAAATCTTTCCATCACTTGCTCCACAATTTCCTCTTTATTCATTAACAGGAGGGGGGCTGGGAGTGCAAAGAGTTAATTTGACTCCAGGACAAAAGCCTGGGCTAACAGATTTAAGGAGAGGCAATTAGCCAACCCCTCTGACTGCAGCACAAATATTTGCATCATTGCCCCTTAATTGCTTCCTCAATGTCTGGGATGGGGAGCCTTCATTTGAATGTCTTCACCTTTTTAAGCAGAACAGTTTAGCAGGCAAAGACAGGCCTCCAGGCAACACCCCCCACCAGAAGCATCAGGGTGATTTATAATTTATGAGCTGCCGGTGGTGGTCCTGGGGAGGCCCATAGGAGAGAGCAGTTGGCAGAGATTCACCCACCAGCATCATCTGGTACATTTCACACCATCAAAGACTACTCTAAAGCTTGGGAATGCACAAGACTACAATCCAGGGTCTGAAAACAGGATCTTGCAATGGAAAGTGTCAGGCATCTTCAACGCCAAGCATCGCTACCTGCGCCAGTTAGAACGATCGGTCTTCTTCGCTGGGACAGGGCCGTTCTGGGGGTTTGGACGACCTCAGCTCCCATCCGTTTCTGCAGAATTGATTTAATTTTAAACGTTGCTGTTCTGGCTGTGAAGATAAGCCCTGCCAGCTGTGCATGGCCGCTGTGTTGCCGGCTGGAGACACCCTGACACAACAGCTCCGGGAAGTATGAAGGGCACCCAGTCATCTCAGTAAGGGCTGAGGTGAACTTTCTTGCTGCTGCTCATTTTAGCAGAAGCACCCAAGCGAATGTGACAGTGGCAGATATTGGGGGGCACCAAGGGAAAGCTGGGGGCCAGGAGGAAGAATGGAAGGAACACAGGTCTGGGAAGGAAAAATAAGATCCGGTACTGCCTAGACAGCTCGATTCAAAGCCCTGTGCAGTCAGTGGCAGTCTTGCCACTTACTTCAATGGCTTTGGATCAGGCCCCAAATCTTGAGGCCTGGCAGAGAGACGGAGCTGTTGCCTGAGATCCCTGCACTGGAGCCTGTAATGGGGGAGGGGAGCAGTTGGCAGTGACAAGAGGATTCACTAGGGGAGAGGGGACATTGCAGCCCTCCATTGCTAACCCCACTCCAGCGGCACCCGTCCCGTCCGAGCAATGCTGGCGACCCCAGGCCTGACAGACAGCTTGCCCTAAACACCACCTCACAGAACCCTGCTCAAAGCAGGTCGCACGGGCACGCAGCAGAGGAAGCTAGCGGCCCAACCCCAGCAAGGCTCTGACTGTTGCTAATCGCAGCAGAGGCGAATGGTGGGAAGGTTTATTGAGAATCCCCTGGTGCAGACAAGGCCTTAGAGAGTCAAATACAAAAGAAATATTTCTAGGAACATCTGCGTGAACCCGAGCCGGGCTAAGAAAGCCTCAGGACATGGGGCGGGAATTCCCCCACCTCCTCCATCTATGGCCCTACACAATAGGTCAGGTGTGTTACTGCCTTGCCTGCAGCAGAAGGCTGGTGGTTGTTGGAGTGAGGATCAGGGCTGGATGGACTGTTCCTCTGTCAGTTCCCATTAGCCTGCTAATTAGCTCCACGTTGCATCAGGAATAACCAGTTTCCGTCTAACCACAAAGGGGAGGTGCCACAGTGCGACTTGGTCCATCAAAATTCTTCAGAGGTAGCAGTTCCAGGGTTCTGCGGTCTGAAGGCTGCCTCTGTACAGTCCAGCCGGGCTGGATTGTCCCAGGAGCTGGACAGTTGGACTTCGTGGTCTCAGTTCTCGGTGCGGGGAGGGCAGATCGAGGTTAGAGGAGAGGATGTGCCTCCAGGCACCGCCGCTGTCTTGGGGCCTGGACATTGTTCCAAGTAACAGAACCACAAGGGCAGATCTCCCAGCTTGGAGAGGAGCAGTAACATCACATTGTTCTTTAGTTTTCCCCCTTAGCCTAGGCGGGCAATTGTCTTGACGGGCTCTGGTTTAACAGCCAGCAGCTCTTCTTAGGACTTGTCTACATGGGGAAACTGACTAGCTATACCAGTATAATTATATCGGCATGGCAATGCTGGTGACACCCCCCATGACACGCCACTGGAGAAGAGCACTCTTATACTGTTACAAGAGTCCATGGGGGTGGGGGGCTCTTACCTGTATCCCCAGGTGGTGTCAGCTAGGGCAGAGAGGAGGATCTGTGGTCAGGATAATTATACTGGTCTAGCCATGATGGTATATTTCCCCACGGGGACGAGCCTTAGCCATGTGAGGGGTTGCCGTGATGAGAGGCATTTGGGGGCAGCAGAGAGAACCATGTGGAACCCCGTCGTGTCCCTCCCACCCCAGAAGAGAGGCCACGTCTGTAAGTGATAATGTAACAACTGGCCCTATGAAACATGAATCGGATGCACATTTGTAAGAGCTGCCAGGAGGAAGGTAGCTACTGGGAATACCCAGGCAGGCAAGTGGAGAAAGCGATAATAGGCCACAGCCAGGACTCAGGAGCTCGATGGAGTCTATTGACATACAGAACAGAAGACCAACCAGGCCCAGAGAGCCACATAGGCTCAGCCTGGGAGCACAGGGCCCTGCCTGTGACTTCAGTTAAGCACGGGGTTAAAAACCAAAATCCTGCTGCCGAAGCCCTGAGGGCCCTTGGCCCACCCACCCCCATGGGCCAGCTGCACCACCTCAGCCTCCTGTCAAACACCTGGCCGGTGCGGCGAGCCACAAATCCTCCGGCGCCGGGAAATCCAATATGGGCACGTCTGAGACAGTTTCCCCTACTTCGTTTACGCAAAGCTGGCAACAATCTGCACCGCAATTTACCCCTGCTGGTCGCCACGGGGGAAGGGGCTCAGGGACTAGGATCGTCTGCGGTAACAGCCAGAGCTCCATCTACTCTACGCACTTCTGCTGGGGGTGTATTAAGGGTCCGTTTTTTGCCAGCGACACCGCAAGAGACCAAGCGAGGAGCCTGAGTAGTAAGTGAGCTGTATGAAGACCCCACGACACTGGCAGCTGGTGCGCCTATAAGTATAATCCCATGTGGCCCATTAGGTGCATGTTATGCAACAGGAGATGTCCATCTGTAAATAAGCTCATAGCCCCGACTAGACCATTTCAGGCCTTTATCAGTAAAGCTGGGGTGGGGAGGGAGAAATTAAATGCAACTCCCTCCTGCAGCCAACACTTGGGATCCTGCTTGCACCTGGAGATGGGAATGCCCAGTCCCAGCTCCTTTACTGAAATCTGGCCTCCAGAGGCACTGACATCTCAGAGAGCTGAAGCCCCACCCAACATGAACCCAGGTTGCTCTGCGTGCGTGCCAGGGTCCATCCGGGCGGAGCCTCTTTCCAGACTGGGGCCAATGACCATAAGGGTTATTGTGAAAAACAGAGTCCCCCTCATGCACAAGGAGAACTAATAATTGACTATATCCTGAGCATGAAACAGGGTCTGATTATGAAGTCCACCTTGAGCAAGAAGAACAGACCCTGGATAACTCTTTCAATCATTAGTTGTTGCTCAGGTATCGTTTTAAACGACAGGCACTGTATCCGTGAAGAAGATGCCATGTCAATCAGCACCAGTCTAGGCTTTGTCACAGTTAGAATGATACGGCGGAAAGTCTCCAGAACATGAGAGCGATCTACAATCCTTTCACCCCAACTGAGGCCACGACGCTGACCGATTCTGAAATGCAGCCACTGCTGGGGTGGAGCACGGCAAGCGGAGATGGTATAGTGCAACCCTCTAGAACAATCCAGGCCAGGGCTCATTAATAGTGATATATAAGTGATAATGTTTGCTCCTTCTGAAGGTGACAAAGCATCTATAGAGAAGACCGATCTTTTCCGCATGGCAGAATGAAGTGGAGAAAGGAATCCAGCATTGCTCTTTAGGGCACAGGGTGTCTTTCTGCTCTGTTTCCACAGCACGTAGCACAATGCGGGTCTAGTCCTTGACTTGGACTCCTAGGCACAACCACAATATAAACAATATTGCGAATAGGGGTACCAAGTTCCCATGGTTAGTTTCTTTTCTCCGGATATATTTGGTCAATCAAAAGTTACGGCACATACCAATCTGGTTCACACACGACTGTCTGATAATTAGGTTGCATTTAATCAGAGTAGAACAAAGGTCATATAGAGGTATTAGATCATAGCCTGCAAAGCCACCTGTAAGCCTAGCAGTGCGAAAACCATCAAGAAGGGTGACT